GGGCCCCCACTTGCGAAGAGCTACTACGAGCGCCATCAGCTCAGCCTCGAAGATGATCTGGGAGGAGCGGCCTTCGCCTAGCAACCTCCTTTCTTCTGCCCCCAACCCGACAGAGAAGAAGTCGACAGCACTTCCTAATTGATCAAAAAGGACACCCCCTAAACCACAAGGCCAGCTGGCATGCCCCGCTTCATAACATGCATCCGTGAAGACGAACCAAGGAGCTTGGCTCATGACTGAAATGACGCGTGGAGCATCAGCACACAACCTGGACATGAACTTCTTGATCGCTAGGCGCGCAGGCTGACTTAGTTCCGGCCCATTATCACCCCACGCGTGAGAGGTTACTGCCTGCATGCAGGCTCTTCCTGTCCTTCCGAACAGCTGGCCATCAGCAAACTGCATCCTACCACGCAACTTCAGCGCGAAGGCCTGAGGGAGGAAACCAGAATCAAGGACTTGTTGTAGCGTTTGCTTCAGCTCCAACACTCGTCTCTCCGTGTTGCAGAAAAACACTGTGCCGTCCGTGAATCGACTCAAGCTTATCTTAATGCCCAGGGCTTGAAAGTCTAAGGCGAAGGGGCAAGCTTTGTCTCCGTCTTCTGCGAAAGACCAGCCCAGCAGCTTGAAGAAAGCTTCGATTGTGCGCTGCAAGTGCTTGCTTCCGGCCTTCCTCGAAAAAGTAATGAAATCATCAAAGAAGGTGGTCCAAGGTATTGCAAGCTGATCAGCAGCTATAAACCACACCGCCATTACGATTCTCAAGAAGGAGTACACAGCACGACTTGCTCCGAAGGGTAAAGCACGCATTCTGAAGATCTTTGGTGCTGCAGCCGCAGCATCCCAGCACGCTACGTAACTGGCCCAAGATGACTCGGGCGCAATGGCGAGTTGGCGGTACGCAGCCTTTAAGTCGAAGGTCCTTCCGAGTAAAGTCGTTTTAGCTCCTCTAGCAAGCAAACTCAAGCAGAGCGCCGCAACTTTGTCCGTGGCATGCGGCCGCGGAGACTCAGATACTTGCACTGTCGCATTTACTCCCCCCATTGAGAAGTCGTCCGTGACCCTTAGTTTAGATCCTTGGACAACCCCAAACCTACGGCTTACGAGCGCAGAACTCTCCAATTCACTGTATGGTATCGGGCCTTCCAGCCAGCCTTTTTCGTGCTCCTCCCACGTTTTCTTTAGGACATCCCCATCGAGTTCGCCTAACGGCCCTATCTTCTTAATTGCCTCTAGCCTGATTTTGCTAGCTTCCTTTTTCACATGGCTTACAGCCATTTTGGCTGGCTTGAAAGTGGGCTCGAAGATTCCGGTGACAGGCACTTCTCCTGCTAGATGCGTACCATGCACTAGCTCATCGAAAGCACCAGGGTCAGGATAATTACACTCTGCAAGCATCTCTTTGAACAACACCAACCTCTTAGGTTCGAGAATGGCTCTACAGGCGGGATGTAACGACCTCTTTAGCTCTGCTTCTTGGTGTGTGAGCTGTTCTGCCCGCTTGGCCCACTTGGCGATCCAACACGTCCTCATTTTTGCGAGGGCTTGGTCGTCCAAGGTCTCCTGCATGTGGACGGCCTTCTGGAGCACTTCTGGCAGCACGTCCTGAAAGTTTCTGGGGTGACCAGCTTTCACTGCAGCATCGACAAACTCTTCCTCGGTGCGTGGGACGCCCCATGCCTGCTCGAACCTTGGCTTTGCAGCCTCACCCCCTGTTCTAGCTACCCAATCCCCTACTTTAACCGCTATGGGAGTACTTCGAAGGAGTTGACTCTTGGCTGGCACACTCTCGACTGCAGGCGTGGCGATAGTTCCTGCAGGAGGCACAAAGGGCCGCTCAAGACGCTGGCCAGGTGCACATGGCTGTGGCAGCGGCTCCTGGGAACGTAAGACTACTACAAGCTTATGTTCACCTACAGGGGCGGGGAACTTTGACGCTTTGCTTTGCAAGCCGGCAATTGCCCTTTCGGCAGCGGCAGCTACTTTGTCTTCTTCCATGCTCAGTGCAATCCGTGGCTTGTCCCAACCTCGCCGCACCATGCTTTTGATGAACGCGAGTGCGATGTGGGCCGCCAAACGAGGCGGGTACGCAGTCTCCTGCGACGTAGCATATCCGTTCGGGGCTGTTTCGTCGCTGCCCCACGGCAAGTGTTGCGCGGCACACTGTGGCCCCGGACAGAACCGAGCCAGCTCTTCAAACGCACTGCAGTTGTGAGCTATAGCTGTTTGCTTCTGACGCCTGCCACCATACGCACAATGCTCAAAGCACACGTATTGCGCTAGCTTCGACACGGACTTCCAGAAGGAGGTCTGCCACAAGTAGCTGTGAAGCGGGTTTTCTACAGCGAAGATCTTATCGTTGGCAACGCAGTAACGCACGACATCCGCAACTAATTGATATGTGAGGTTTGCTTGCTGCACCTTGAACTCGTCCATCTGGCTCAGGCCGGACAAGCCGTCCGGGCACTGCGCTGATCGGAGGGGCGGGGGCCCGCCATCAACCTTTCTAGCTCGTGAGGCCGTGCCACATGGCGGCGCCATGAACACACCTATCACCCTCGGGGAGCCTAGCCACGTGAAGCAAAGCGCGCGGCCCTCTGCGCTTGTGAGATCCACTTCTAAACATTTGGCACACGCTGTGGACACGTCCACATCTACTCCAAGAGCACCCGCTACTCCAAAGCCTTTCAAGCACGCAGTCACGCGGGCAGTGCCGGCGAAAAGCTCGATCACCACAGGATAATCTTTCCACGCTTCGGCGTGTCTCTTACTCGAACAAGAACTAGGACTAGGACCCGGACAAGGATTACTAGGGCACGCATCCAAAGGACCTGAAATGGGAACGCGTGGCTCTCGGGGTTGCTGCTCTACGACCGCTGCCGCTGCCTTTGGCACCTTGACTGGTTGCACACAAAGCTTATCACTGGGCTGACCCAAAGCACGCTCGCCGCTCATGCTGCCCCCTGCATATGAGGCGGCATCGCTGCTCTCGGAGTCCGAATCCAAAACTGTTGCGTTGGACACCGGTGTGCTTCCGGCGCACGCAGGCTGCAAAACTGGGGCAACTGCCTCTGCGGCTGACACACTACTGCGACACTCACACGCTGCTTGCTCATGTAACGCCCAAAACTGAGAGCCTCCGAAGGCACATTCACTTGCGCCTCCGTCATTGGCACTTGCATGGCTGCTGGCAAGCTTGTCCGATCACTGCCATTTGTGATCCTTCAAGGCGTGAGCCCCGAAGCACTTGGCACACACATGGGCTCGCTCACACTTCTGATTTTTGCACTTGCCGAGGCTGAACTCCGGCGTCTTGCCACTGGCACCTGCTGCGAGAAACTCCTTGGGAAGTCTGGCCTCCTTGCCCCCATTGCCTTTGCCACCTCTTTGATCCTTGCCCTGGCCGTCACGCGTCTTGCCGCCCCCCTCCTGGCGCCTTCCATCTCCTTTGAAGCGCTTGCTGTCGCTAGTAGCAAAGCCCGCTCCTTTTCCTGGCCTCTTCAGGGCTTCTTTCGCTTGCCGAGGAAAGAGGCTGAAGGAGACCTCGTAGGACTCTAACGCCTTGTCCAGCTCGACGTCCAGCGGGAAAGTGCCGTCAGGCGACTTCTTGGGGCTTACACTGCGCTGGATTAAGCGGATCTAGCACTGCTTGTCCGCTTCGGCTAGTTGAGAGACCGAACAACGAGCCATTTGAGGCGGCGGGTCTCGGGCTAGGTGCGCGAACAACTTGCCAACATAACGGTCGTAGGCAGGCCAACTGCACGATTGGGCGAAGACCAGAGCCAGCCCACGCCGCCGCAAGGCCTCCTGCAGCTGCAATGCACTGGGGGCTGGTTGCTCCAGGCTGGACTGTTCATCTTTCACAACGAGCTTTGCTGCCTCCAATTCCACTATCTTGCCAGGATTCTTACCGTTCAAGACTTCGTGAAGACGAGAGACGCATTTCTCTGGTGGAATGTACTGCAATTGGTTTTCCTTCTCCATCTTAGCCGCAAGATCCAAGAGCGCATGTCCTGGCTCCAATGATTCGCCGATGTGCAGCCCGACAAGTCTCGATCTGAGCATCTCCATGCGTCGCACTCTCTCCGCCGCCGGGACGGGCTTGGCTGTTTGGCTTTCAGGGTTGGTTACTTGCTCTTTGAGGTCTGCAAGGATTAGTGTCTGGCCCTCAAAGACCAAGCGTTTGAGAGCAGAGTGCTCTCCCACAGTTGCATGTCCAAAGTTGGACTGAAGCCACGCAGCCATGGTTGCCTCCGGCAGAGGCTGCCCTGGCTGGCCGACTGCATATCCGATGCGAGCCAAGGACGTGAGGTCCAGGCGGTCCAGCGTGTTCGCAGTCGTGGGTGTCAAGCCAACCTCCAAACAGCGCTGCTTGAAATGATGCTCGCTCTCAATCAGGCTTGACATGGCAGACAGGCACGGATCGTTCGGACTAGAGTACAGTCGCACCACTTCTCGAGCTCTCAACACAACTGCGAATCGGTCTTGCATTCACACCAACGCACAAGGTAGACATGGCATGTGTGTCCCACGACATCAGCCCTGCCAACCCTCACGAGCACCCGCACCCCGTACCTGCAATCGCTTCAAGACGACGGAACACATCACACTCAACACCGCTCAACAAAACTCTCAGACGCACAATCCACAACAAGTGTGAGAATCTCAGTCCGCTGCCCTCAGTCGACCTGCTCAGCTACACTCCATGTGCGAAAGAGACATGTCATGACACGCGCAAGTAACGCACATCCCCAACTGTCGCATGACAGATCTTCAAGCGCGATTAGCGCTGTGCACTTCGCACAAGAGCATCTCCGCTCCCGCCTCTCCGGCGCGCCCACCATGTGAGCAAACTTTTTCTCTGCAGGCACGTATCTTCATCTGCCGCATGGCAGTAAAAGTCCGCTTCTTCTATTCACACAGGAGCCTCTCCGCTCTTGCCACTCCGGCATGCCCACCATGTGAGCCTACTTGTGTACACGGAATGACTGCAGCAACGATTACTTGTTCTTCCTACATGTGCAGCACTCATGCCCTTCCAGATCCGCTTCTTCTGCGAGCCTGTAAGACATTGACACAGATCTACCACACGCAAAGACCCTTGTCTCGGCCAACTCTGACTCTTGGCCGTTCACCAAGTGTAACACTTGCGACTTGCAGTGCACCCACCACACCTGCGCTTCGCGGTTTACCGGCTTGCGTCCTCTCTGCCTCTTGACCTGCATAGCGGCTTGCTGCTCACCGCCACTGTCGCTGCCGGAATCTTCCGACTCCGACTCCGAGGAGGAAGACGAGCTGTTCTGCTCACGCGGTTGCCCTGGACACTCCAACGCTGGACTTATTTCCTTGTCCGCCTCGTCCTTCACTTCCAGCACTTCTACGGCAGGGGGTTTAGGGGGAAAAGCAAAGTATCTAGACCTGGGTTCGTCTGGCCGGAAGCTTCCACTGGCAACATCTGCCAGTATGCTTTGCAGTTCACGCATGGGACCAACACACAGGTCCCGTGCATAAACAGCATCTGCGGAGGATGTACACTTGCAGTGGCGGCCAAGGACTGTTTGTGTCCGGTCCTCAACCCCAAACTTAGACCCAACTTAAGCACGTCGCCTTAAGAGAGTGGCTAGAGACACCTCTTTCGCCCGCTGCTGGCGGCGGGACTGACAGAAAGGCACGCAGGAACGCACTGACCTCTCCCGAGCTAACGGCTCTAGCGGCAAATGCGGAGCACTCACTGTCCACGGGCACTCTGAGTAGGGGCCCGTTAATCTCACCACGCACAGGCAGCTTCAACTTCTCGAAGACTTCCACAAGCAGGTGCATCCAGGGCTTGCCGTGGATGCCAATGGCTGGCACCAGAATCGGCATGAAACGGCTCTTCTTCTGGGCCGATTTGGCACCCTTGTGTTTCCTTGTCAAAATTTCCAAGAATCCGCCTTGGTGGTCATGGTCATGCGTCATGACACTAATTTGTTCGAGATCGGAGTGTCTCGCTCTGCCATACAGTGCCACCAAGGTGTACGCACACATCGCTCTGTCAAACAAGTGGCGAGAGCTATCTGCAAGCCCGGCATGCAGGGCTAAAACCTGCCGCACAGACAACACGCGCGCCTGCTTGAGTGCTGCTTTTCCAGCAAACATCTGCTGCGCCGCTCCCCTCACGCGCTTGCTATCAACCACAATGGACAACCTGAAACCTAGGACATGGTGCGCAAAGCGAACTGAACTTAGGAACGCATCCGCCTTGGTTGGCGGCGCTCTATTGGCCTTCAAGCTTGCAACGTATCTCCACGCATCGGCTTCGGTGAGATTGGCCGTGCAGCACGGCAGCTCCGCGTCTCTCCAACGCAACCACGCGGCAAAACTATACGCTCTTTTACGGACCGTGAAAGGAGACTTGACACCTAGGCAAGCTTCAACGTTCGATATCACTTCTTCCCGGAATCGCGCCGGTGTGGAATCGCTGGCAGTGGCAGCGGCAATTCCAGGCTCGCACTCATGCTTGAATCGCACACATATATCCGCCCAAAGATTGACCCCTTTAGACCACTCATGCTCTCGCTTTTCCTGAGGTGAGAAACCCGTGCCGGCCTTAACAACGCTAGAGAACACCGGTCCTAAATCGGCAGAGACAAAATCACAAACTGTTGCAGGGTTAGCTGGCTTCGCCGGCGTCCGATCTGACACCACCGTACATGCCTCTGTCAGCGGGTGCGCTGACAAGTTGGGCTCAAGTGATGCTTCCATGCCGTCGAATATGGTACGCACCGGGGCGAGCTCCCAAGGCATTTGGATAGACGATAGCTTTCCTATTTTGTGAAACGCATCAATGGCCGCATGCTGCACCAAGCCTGGCTGTGCGGTGGAAACTTGCGCCAGGAAGTCATGGCTCGGGGCTACGCTCGCAAGAGCGGAGGAAGCTGCATCTGAAGGTGTTTCCTGAGCCGCCCAGCACGCTCCTAAGTCTGCAGTTTCGTTCACTTCGACAGCAGGTAATGTAGGCGCCAGAGTAGCCAGCATGCCACCAATCCCGGATGCATTTACAACGCGCAAGGCCAACTGTGCCTGAAATGGCAGGTACTGCCACAGCAGGCGCAACACTGAGCGTGAGCTGCCTACCGTCTGCAAGTCAGCCTGACCCGAAGCGGTGGAGCTTTCCGCCTCCGTGTCGCTCATGTTTGTATTTGCTATCCCGCTCGATGAGCGGAGCGCAACCATGCACCCTCCCTCACCACTTTGGGCGGGTCGGGTGGGACAAAAAGCAAGATCGAGTGATCTTGATGTCTTATGCGTGAAGCTGCACCTTCCTAGTCTTGCATGTTGACATATCATGCTTAGCTGCTCACTAGCTTCTCCTGAGCCTCTGCGCGGGGGTATGTAAGTCAGGCACGTTCTGACGAACTCTCGTCGGCTCAGTGAACGAGCTATCACGAGGACTCGTGACGGCACTCAAGGAATTTCTATTGAATCGAACGATTTGGACCAAACAGCTGCACTCACCTCAAAAGTTTCCGGATTTCAGTTATTCCAAATTGAAAAGGTTTCGTAGAAAAGGCGAATACCGAAGCTCGCACATCAAGAACTGAAGTTGCACACGAGGCTTGCACTGAAGACTGTTTCTCTATCGGCGACGTTGGGGATAACAGATGCTGAAGTGCCGGTCAGCACAAAATTTGTATATCTAATTGGCATTTCACTAAGCCTACCTACTCGCAGGGAGTTGCAGCCGGGGCCCGACTAACATTCACCCCCGTGCCAGGGTGCACTACGAATATCGCAAGAGATTCGCACATTGCAAGACAAGTAGGGAATACTTTGTTGCACTATGAAAGCAAGAAAAGATCCTCCAAAGAGAAAGCAACAAAAATGTGAAGTATTTTTTCAAAATTGGTCCAAGGCGGCCCACGCGAAGGCCATTGTCCGGGCTCAAGAGAATCCACTATCTCGGCGCGAGATTGTGCTGGTTTTCTTGAGCCGAACGATTTGGACCAAACAACTACACTCACCTTTAAAATTTCCGGATTTCAATTATACCATGTTGGAAAGAATTCACACAAAAGACGAACACCGAAGCTCGCACATCAAGAATTGAAGTTGCATACGAGGCTCGCACTGAAGATTGCTTTTCCCTCGGCGACGTTGGGGATAACAGATGCTGAAGTGCCGATCGGCACAAAATTCAAATGCCCAAATGGTATTTCACTAAGCCTACTTACTTGCAGGGAGTTGCAGCCCTCCGCGAGGGGCCCTGCTAGCATTCCCCCAACTTAATCCCATTACTTAAGTCCTTGCACATCCTTCAAGCACGCGTCCACTCTCTGAGAGATATTCGATCCATCACGCATACCGTTATTATCCACAAAGAAGATTGCTATGTGCCCCGTTAAATCCTCCAACCAAACGTCCAGCGCCACCGCCATTGCTAGCATTTCCGCCTAGAAGATGATCTGCGCAGAACTCCATTCGCCAAGAAAATTGTTCTGTGCCTCGCTCAAAACCAGTGAAAAGAATTTCCGGGGAGTACCATTAGGATCTACTAGCACCCCTCCTAGGCCGCAGAAACTTTTCCCTGCCCCTGGTTCATACGAAGCATCCGTATACATACGCCACGATCCGCCCTCAAGGATCTTGATCAAGCGCGGAGCCCCAACTTCGAGCCGGAGCAAGAACCTCTCGAGAGAAGCACTGAGCTGACGACTGATGACCTCGTCAAAGCCGTAAGCATGAGCAGTGATCAGTCCCAAGCACTTCTTCCCAGTACGGCCGAAGATTTGCGAGTCTGTAAACTGGCATCGACCCTAAACCTGAAAGCCTCGTGATGTGGCAACCTATACCTGACTCAAGCACTTTGCCCACGAACGCCTTGATCTCGGTCACCCGCTTTGCAGTGTTCCTGAAGCTTTTAGTGCCATCGAGGCTCGCTCGCAGATCAACCATGATACCAAGCGCCTGGAAGCACTCGGAAAAGTCATTTGCTTTTTCACCGGATTCGGCAAACGCCCAGCCCAACAGCTTGAACATTGCCGTCACTGCCGCCTCTGCTGACGCAGAGCACCCTGTCGTCGCAAAAGTGACAAAGTCGTCGAAGAACGACGACCAAGGCAAGAGTAATGCCTTTGCACCAAGAAACCACAAGGACAAGGAATGACTAATCCTAAGGAAAGCGTAGACTGCCATTGCTGAGGCTTTCATCCTAAAGTACACACGCTCCTTCGTGTCAGGATGCACGAAACAAACGTACGCCGCCCAGGCTGTGTCTGGGCCCAGCACGACCCGAGATCGTGACGCTCGCCTTATTGCAACTGTCTCAGACTGAATGCCAGCTGCACTCAGAAGACTAATGCACTGCAGCAAATGCACGCGGTCTCTTCATTTTTCCTCTCAGTCGCAAGACTGGTTAAGTTGGGGCAGCGCGGACGGAAAATGATCTATCGGACCGCCCATGCTCGGCACGGGTTGTCCATTTCAGAATGAGGGAAGGTACACACCACCCCCCACCACTTCAAGGGCGGGCGGGCGGGGCAAAACAAGAAGACACACCACACAAAGTGTTCAGCCACACAGGCAACCGCTAGAGCATTCTCTAACACCTGCTGGCCTGGACATGCATCAACACGCATCATCATGCATCAAGGACACGTGCAGCACGGCAATCACAACAGTGCGACACAACACTGCACGCAGCTGCCGACGCAAAACCACAAGCACGCACAGGCTTAGTAGGTTTTGCTTTCAGTCAGGACAGCGGGCAATAAAGCGACGTCAACAAGTGGAAGTAGGCATCTGCCTGTACGCTGCAGTAAAGGCAAACGCTTGCCCAAGATTTTGAACAAGCCCTTGCCTGCTCTCTTTTTGATGGATTTCAACAGCCTAAGACAAGTGGATGCGACCACGTCAGTAGACTGGGGCTGCGGCGCTTTATAGGCCTGCCAAACCGTCTGCTCACCAAGATTCCATCGCACAAGCTTGACTCGCACAGGGGACCAACAATCCATCCTGCTTCTCGCTCCTTCTCGGTCTTGGAGATTTTTGACTTTTTCCCGAAAAACATAAGATTCCTCTCTTACCTGCTTTGGCGTGGCTTGCATGGGCTTGAACTTCGGTTTGAAGACTCCCGAAATGGGCGCATGTCCCACCAACGGGACTCCTTCCTTGAGAAGGCTCGGCACACACTGGTCTGGGTAATCGTATTTCTTAAGCAAGGCTTCCCACAACAGGATGCGTTTGGATGCAGTAATCTCGCGAACATCAGGGTGCATACTCTAGCCCCTTAAAGCAGAGACTTCGGCGTCTCCCAACTTGTCCAAGGATTCAAGAGTGTCATTCAAGGGGGCCGGGAGCACAGAGCCCATCGACCTTGGGTGGCATGATTCGGACGCCTTCTGCATGAACTCCTCGGGCTCCCAGGGTACTCCCCAAACCATTTCCCAAGAATCAACTTTCATCTGTTCTTTCCCCCAGCTTGGACTATTGGCACGTGCCGGAGCGGCTGCGCCTTAGCCGGGAGCTGTGCCAGGGTGGCACCACACTGTGGCGGCACGGGCCACGGCTTACTGAGTCGTTGCATCGGCTGACAAGGCAGCACGAGACCAGGAGGATGCCGCAAGACGATGACCCGTTGATGCTCACTAACTAGTGGCGGTATCTTGCTAGCTCGAGGCTGGGCGCCAGCCAAAGCACGCGACATAGGAACTTCCAAGCGAGGATCAAAAGCATCAAAGGATTGCGGAGGCGATTGCCAGCCCCGTTGCACGAAGTGTTGAGCAGCAAGCTACCTGCTGTAATCGGCATTCTGGCTGATGGCCCTGGTGGCAAGTTTGGCCCGGGCAAAATCGAGCAAGCCTCGCAAAGGAACGATCGGTTGACAGCAAAAGTGGTCGTACTGAGGTGATTTCCAGCATATGCGCACTCATGGCACGGCACAAAAGTAAAATTTGAGGATACCTTGCCCCAGCAGGTGGATGTCCAAAACGGCCCGTCGCCAGGCTGGGCCAGAACACACACCGCTCCTCGGCTGAGGACATGTAGCAAAACTTCGGCCAAAAACTTTTCAAGAGCACTGTTAAGGTGATGAGGCGGAGCAACAACCAGGCCGGCCAGCCTAGGTGACGAAAGCCACTCCATGCACAACTCCTGTCCTTTAGGCGTGGCCAGATCTGCCTGGAGGCATGTCGTGATGGATTTCCGTTTGTCAGCATCTACCCCGACGGCTGATAGCCCCAACTGTTCAAGACAGGCAGTAACCCGGCCGGACCCCGAAAACAATTCAATGACGAAGGGGTCGCTCCAAGTTACAGGATTAGGGACGGCGTCGGGGATGCAGGCAAAATCGCTCATGGGCGGAGGATTCATCTCGACCGAATTGGCCGGAACTTCCTCCTTAACCCTCAGTGCCTACCCAACTACGCATGCACAGGGCATGGGCGGACACGTTTTGGCTGCAAACTGCTGACACCGTTGCAGGGGAAGGAGGGCACCCTCCTTCCCAAATGTCTGAAATCACAGGGCCGATGGGCCGAAAGCAAAGCTGAAGCCGCCGCGGCCCACTTCCCCCATCTGGGGCGGGCGGGCGGGAGTCTCGAAATTGAGATGTCAATAAATATCAATCTGACCTGACACAAGCGAGGGCCTGAAGCAACAAAAGGCAAGAAGCAGGGAGCATGCTACGTGGACTAGGGTTGAGGGTTTGCTGTATGCGCTGGCCATTGTCCCAACCTACCCCAGCGCAGACAGACCACTGCTTGTCGAGTCGTCGCGTGGAGAACTCGATGTTTGCTGGAATGCACGTGCTGGGAAGCTTGCCCCCAGCAGGCGTTGGCGGTACTCCGAAGACAAGCTGGTAGCGTGATTAGGCTTAAAAGCAACAAGCAGCACTCTTTCGCCGGTCCAAGGCATGGCGCAGTGGGTTTCACGGGGATTTAGGGTACACGGCCCATCGGCAACCCGAACTAAGGACCCAGAGAGGCTAAACCCTAGCTCATCCTGCACGATGTCGTTGCCAGGCCCTTTTTGCCAGACCTCTCCACCTCGGAAGACGGTAATCGGGATCAAGTAATTTCGCGACCCCATCTGGTTATTTATGTCTGTGACTATGTGCAACGCCGTCGGAAGGGTTTTATAAATCGCAACAGCAGTGAAGTCGGCATCTGGAAACGTTTGTAGCACAAGCTTACACA